GGGTGATTGCTTAATGACACAACCAGGTGTGCCTGGATTGTGGTCACTGAGCAAAGCAGCTTTGTAGGTGTCTCGCTTAACGACTGCTTCACTCAACTATTGAGATTCTAGTCCCAATTGTGGTTGTTAAGCGAGGACTACCTGTAATTCTACTTTATTGTAAAGATACTGTACATTGACAGAATCTTGCAAGTCTGAAAGTACAGTTCTCCCCCTCTCCTGTCTCTTTTACCACCCAAGAAACTAGGGAGGGTCCTGCCTGAGCTCCTGCCCCGCCCACTATCCAGCTGCTGGCTGTGCTATCTCTTATCTGATCATTCCCATGGCAGCATCTCTTGGCCCAGTCTCCCAAGGTCTTTTCCACATACCATTACAGGGAGCAAGTGCGATTCCCCTTCTTCAAAAAGGGAAGGAGGAAGACCTGGGGAATGCTGGACCTGCTAGTTTGATGTCTATATTGGGTAGGTCCTCAAGCAGATTATTAAACAGCATGTTATGAGCACTTGGATAAGCACACAACAATTAACAGGATGGGTTTGTCACAAATTCTGCCAGAGGAAACTTATCTTCTGTTATGACAGAGTTACTAGCTTAGTAGATCAAGGAAATGCCACAGGCATGGTGTGCCTTGACTTCAGCAAAGCTTTTGACAAAGTCTCCTGTTATTCTCCTTCATAAAATGGTAAGATATGGGCTACATGACACCACCGGCCTCACTGGTGACTGAATTTCCACACCCAGCGACTAGTCATAAACAGCTTCACCGCAGCTGGGGGGAAATATCAAGGGGAGGCCCTGGGCTGCATCGGTGAGTTAAGGGGACCCTGAAACCTTTGCAGGTGAGAGAAAGCTGGGAGGGGCGGCTGATACTTCAGGGGAAAGAGATGAGGGGGGCCTGAGCGGTGGGCCCAGATGAAGAGGAGGGAAGCGAGCAGGGAGGAAGGTCACTTTCTGGATATTTGTCTGGAGGAAGAACGTAAGCCCAAGTCTCGGATGGGCGAGACCAGGGCTGGCACCAGGGCACCGGAAAGGATCTGGGTGTCCCATGTTAAACACGAGCCAGCGGTGTGATGCCGCTGCTAAGGCGGAAAATGCTGTCTCGGGGTGCGTTAACCTAGATTCCAGCTCAAGGGAGGTGACTGCTCCCCTCTACAGTGCGATCCGTGAGCAGTGGTTCGCTGTCGTGGAAAGCCA